CTTAGCAGAGGGCAAAAGTTTTACACGGGACTTTATATGTTTCTTTGAAATTGTCAAATTAACAGGTCGGGATATCCCTTTTTCTTCCTTGATTTTTAATCACCGCTAATTTCTGAGTAAAAAAAATTCTTCGAAAGTTTTCTAATTACTTTTTGCTTAAAAGTAGAGTCTTCCACGTTAAGCATGCAGAGCATCAAGATACAGCGGCTCCGAATCTAAATCTTGCTAATTATCGTTATCATTATCCTAGTTAATGAATCGTCATGATCTTGGTCTGATGAAATACGAACTAGAAGAAAACAAAGTCATTCTTTATTTTGACGAGGTAAGGAGAACTTATAATTGGATTGTACCTCTAATATTTTATATATATATGTATTCATTGCCTACCATGCACTGTTTCTATCTAGTAGGTGTGTTACTCGCTCTGTGTTTGCGTTGAATATCCTATGGTTCGTCTTGCCATGCATACTGGATCAAGGATTTAAGGATCCAGAATGCTTTGGCAACATTTTCTCTATGATATGGAAACGTAAGGGCTAAGGGGGAAAGTTTCATGTTGGTTGACGTCATGATGGGTGACAACATGGCGGTTGACGTCATGATCGGGGACGTCATGGCGGTTGATTTCATGGTGGGTGACGTCATGGTGGGTCTCAATGAGGTTAACCGTTAGCCGCTAAAAGGCTGGAAATTAATCGTAAGGGGGAAAAAAAAAAAAAAACAATAATGACAATATGTTAGGTTTTCTATGCATGAATAATCTTTTTGAGCATCGTTATTTTGAAGAAATAGAAAACGCGCGCGCGTGCTGTGTGCTGTCATAAAGCACGCGGGGGTTGGCAGAACACGAGAGACCCCCAAGTGCTTTATGACTGCACACAGCACAGCAAGCAAGTTTTTTATTTCTTTTATAAAATACAAATTACAATAATAAAAAAAACAATCAGAACGCGACATTCATAACAGTTATTTTATAAAACTCTTTTAGAAACGCCGGCCGCTTTTGTGTAAATAAAAACAGCACCTTATTAAACCTTATATCGTTATCATCCGTATTTACGTGAATATGACAATTAATACAAATCCTTCAATACTTTACCATGATCAAGGCACAGCCTGTCATGATGCATTATGAGGTTCACAGTCATTTTCACAGTATTTTGTACCTGGAACATGTATTCAGAAATAATTTTTTTTATATATTTACAGATAAAGAATGTTTGCGTTTCATTCGGAATTATTCAATCGTCTGTGGTGAAGAAAACCAAGCCATCTTCTGTTATAGTTTACGAGTACTACGACACAGGTAAGTACAGTCAGTCCCGGCTTCCTTTAGATGTCTAGATGTTGAAACGACCGTCGCCTTGACAACTCCAACTCCAGGTTTTCAGTTGGGTTTGCTTGCATGTTTTGTTCTCGCTGCATCTCTAAACAGTCTTTGGGTAAAAAACAACTTAGGTGAAGATGTAAGGGGTGTCGATTACGGTTCTTTTGTATTTTTATATAATAGCATTGATGCCAAAAAAAAGCTACACATGCTGAGCAGTGACAGACAGACAGACAGACAGACAGACAGACAGACAAACAGGCAGACAGACAAAAAACTAACAAAAGCAGACAGACAAAAAACTAACAAAAGCATTCAGAATTGCCCATTTTGTAAAAATGAGTGAATGCTGCGTATCACCCTTTTGATAATTTTTGGTTATATGATTAATTTTCAGATAAATCAGCCACTGAAATGTATAATATAACAGAAGAACTGTGCTTGCCAGAAACAGGTAAGGGACAGGTGAAGGGAGAAAGGAAAGGAAGGTGGGGAATACTTCGAGGAAAATAATCCATAAGTGGAAAGAACGATTGAAGAAGAGGGCCAATAGGCTTTTCACAGCTTCAAGTCGCCTAAAATGAGCCAGCTCAACTAGAAACCGTGGACAACTGTTTCGGCCTGTATTGGTAGGCTTCGACCTTAAGCAGGATGCTTCAGGTTCTGATGCACTTTATCCACAATAGATCCTGGCTCTTGTTTTCTTGAAGCAGAAGCCTGACTTGTATGACATAGTCATGTACAGTACATGAAAACTCTAGTGAACTTTAAATTACTTCTTAATATCTTACATGAGTTCGTTCTAATTGCAGAAGTTTCTCTGCCCGAAATAACGCCTGCACCTCAAGCAAGCTGTCTTTTGTGCCCAAAGCAAATTGACTTTGATATTTCTAAAATACAGGGACTGGTGTGCAAGGCCAATAACGGTAAATAATTATTGTTCTTGCATCTTCTCTAAAAGGATTAACCAGCGAGTTACGATAAATCTTATGGTATTTGCGTCAATAATGTTTGTTCCGTTCGCAAAAGGGTTTCCCACATTCCTTCATTCCATGGCTTTTTACTTTTTGACTTTCAGTACTGGCTGTTCGTACAGTGAAAGACGGAGGGATGAGATTCGAGTTCATTTCCACGACTGCAGAGTTTATAGTTGGAAAGAAGCTCGAAAAGAAATCAGTACGCCCCATTGAGATCGTTCTGCCTAAAGGTTGTAGTTGTTCTGCCTTGTCTCCTCGTTCTAAGGCTTTGGTCCTGCTACAAAAGAAGAAAATCAAGAAGAACGTCAAGAGGATTGTTTTAAGTAAAACTGCTGTGGTTTTGCATCGCAGGAAAGCATACAAGACTCAACTCTTAACAGCTTTGCTCAATTGTCCTTGAGTACAAGCCACAGCTCACTGGACTGCAACAATATAATCAACTCGCTTATTCTCATAGATTTTACGTTTATGCATGACCAATAGATGAATACCCTGGGCTCCAAAAGTTCTATTTCGCTTCTTGTAACGAGCGAGCGTCGACATCCCGTCAAAACAGCAAACGCCAGAACGAAAATATATAACCTCTGAACCTCAGCGTAATAGATGAAAGAAGCTTGCTACACTATTATGTAGTTACTGTGCTTAGCACTCTTTTAACTGTTGATTGCATATTTTGTTTTCAAAAAAAATTCTACGCTACATTTTTGGTGACTATTTCTTTCAGTTTTAAATTTGTTATGGGTTTTCTGACGGAAGCCTTGTCGTAGGGTAAAACCGCAATAGAAATGTTCTCTAATTTATTTGGGAAATGGAATCTCATGCGAAAACATTTCATGGTTTCTATCCACAACATGGCTGCCGTTAAAGATCCACTATATAGCGACATTCAAGGCCGCGCCTTACAAACATTTGTGTCAGATCTTGTATGTTATACCACGAAATAAAGAAAAATCAATATCAATGAGTTACAGTTACTTGTTAACCTTGACTTGCATGCCGATATTGCTCATCTTCTGAAAGCAATGCCACACAACCCATCTAGCTACGTATCATTTAATCTTGGGTATGATTATATTTTTGATTACAAAGCTTCCTTCACTTTAGCTCTGGACAGAAATGAGAGGGTTTGGGCACTGATTCTGGGACTGGGAAACTCCTCTTTGGAAAGACAGTCATCGCAGTAATGTAGCGGCCGAGCTCCCTGATCAGTCATTATGGATAGCGGTGTCGGGGCCGAAATCTCCGGCATAGCCGTAAATGCTCCGCGCTGCCATACTGCGCTTCAGCACAGGGTCTGGAGGTATGGTCCCAATTCGGATCTTTTATTGTCCGAAAGGCTAACATTCGCTATATAAACTCGATAAAAGTGAAATACCTTGGTTCGGATTCTCAGACTCAGTAACGTCCTCTAGGTGATTTGTCCTAAGTCAAAGTTCCAAGCCATTCAGTTGGAGTTAGTAAGGGAGCTCATTAAGCATACATCCAGCAAGTCATGCGCACCCGAACCTGCGTAATAGGTAAATTACGAGCCTTGTATGAAACAACTGAAGAAGAGGGCCAATGAGCCAGCTCAACTACGTAGCAACCGTGGACAGGTGTTCGGCCTGTATTGGACCTCGTGAGCACAGTGTATCTAGTGAGCTGGTAGAAACTACTAGTGTGGTGAAGGGTCACCTGCTATATTATCCATCTTAAATCTATTCCTTGAAGAAGGTCACTTCCCTGACAATTGGAATGGGGTCTGGTTAAGCCGAAATTTAAAAAAAGTTTGGAACTAGTTTGGAACTGATAAAGAAAACAAAGACGCGCGCGAAAAAAATGTTCTAGCGAATTTTTTATCGATTTTTTTACTCTTTCGTATTATTTTGACCTCGAATTAAAAAAATTATTATTTAGTTTTTCCGATTTTATTTTCACCATTCATTTTAATCTAAATTGGGCTCCCTGTGCTTCCGGTTGTAGGGTTTCCCAGAGCCTCTGGGGAGGGGAGACGGGGAGGAACGACGACCCAGGAGGATCTGGGAAGAAGAATGTACGAAAACAAAATGGCGTACGAAGTAGAGTGGTACAAATGATCGACACAGCAGAAATATTTGTTGCAGAAGCTATGCTTGATGGCCAGATGTTTAACATTGATAGTGGTATGGTATTTATCTGGCACCTGACTATGGTTTAGACACTAAATTTTCAGTCTGATGTTGTGTTGTTGTTAGATATGTCGGCCGGAATGCACGTACAACATCCTGAAACAGAGTTTAGGTTGAAAAAAGGTTGGTTCTTTTATACTCTTCTCCCTTCCCTGTCCTCTATAATGTATCCTGTTCTCCTCTTCATTATCGTTAGTTGATTTAAAGCAAATCTCATTATCGAAATTATATCATTACAACGTGTAAGACCTATATTAATATTCCGAAAGTAACTGAAGATTGACAGCCATATTTATACTAGGAATATAAAACGGCGCGCGTGTATACATACTGTGATATAAAAAGAGTGTTTTCATTTGAAATTCACATATTGCGTAGGAAGGTATTGGTTGAAAATATATCTAACTGCAGTACAATGTATATATTGTGGTGCAAATGGCATTGGGGCTTTTGGTAAACACATTTCTAACTGCAGTGTAATAGTATATTTTTTTCATTGTTTTCAGTATCTGAAAAGTTTATAGAGAGCATTCATTTGATGGTAAATGAACCTTCAGTGGGTTTATTCAGAATACATGAACATGTTCGAAGGTCGGTCCCACAAATAGTGGATAAAAAGGTAAAACATTATTTCGTTTACACAAGTTATTATCTCTATAATTGTATGATTTCTTATTTATATTAGATCTGTTGTGTTAAGTGGACTACATTTCCCCCCTGTATTTGTTTTACCTGCTTCAAATAAAGATTATCATTATTATTATTGTGTGGTTTGAGAAATTATCCATACCCCACAGAGGAATTCTGAATTTTTGAGGGCTGGTGTACTTGTTGTTGTCGTTAAATGTTCCACTACCTTTCTCTTCATTTTGGTCAATTTATCTTTTAGTTAGAAATGCAGAATTTTCAAAAAAAAATTCATGGAGTTTGCTATGACTTAGATTATTCTATAAGGTATGTAACACAAGGTGACACATGATTTCTGTGGATCTTAGTTACAGGATGGTCCACCTTTGTAGTAGTTAGGAATAATGTTAGCACTATTTTAGTTTAATAAGAATACTAGTTGTAAAGACAACGTTTTGCTGTCATCTCAACAACATTATCAGGTCTAATGAAAACTGTAAACTCTACTATATGTAAATATAGCTTAAGTAAGTGTGAAAGTTCAATGAATAACAATGAGATGGATTGAATCAAGTGGAAAAATGAATGGTATTTTTTTTCCATAATTGAAAGAAATATCAATGCTCAATAATTTCTTGCATACAACATGTGAAAAACAGAAAACTACATATATATTGGTGATCATGTCTAGAAGAAGTAATGTACTAATGAAATGTTTAATTATCTGATTCCATTAATAAGGACAGTGCAGTCAATGCAGAAGATTCCCCATTTCACCATAATCCAGGTGAGTAAGTATTTTGCTGCTTGTAACAAATATAAATATCTCCTTAGTTTGACCCTCTCTCTTTCTTTCTGTCCAATAACTAAATAAAATGACTAAACATTTTTCAATCCTATTTTACCTATAGTAAGGCACACTAAAGCCAAAGTATGAAATATTGGCCGGTCCAAAACATTTTATATTTTTGTTTTCTCAAAAGGGAAAGGGAATATATTTGGATGAAATTATGGTCACACTAGAATTGATGTCAGAATGTCCAAACGTTTCAAAGGCCTCAACAACAGTTGACATGCTATATATTATATGGAGTGCATACCATTTATCTGTGAAAAACCTTGCAAGAAATTGTACACACTTGCACAAATTAGCAAGATTAGTAAACTTAGACCTATGAAACTTTAATTTGTACAATTTTGATTTGTACAATTTTGATAGTTAACTTTTTCACCGATATATGGTATGCAATTTAACTTTAACAAAATGTACCAGAACAAACCAGTTTGGAAGAAATGTTGATTCTGACTAAATTGTACTTGTATTCTCTTATACAAGATGAAGTGTAATAATAAATGGCATATAACGTATTCTTCATAGGAGTGTCTAAGAAGTGCTATAGCTTCAAAGCAAAATCTGGATGCAGCAAAAAATCAAAGGTTCATATAAACTGTCTGCTTTGAATAAAGTTTTACAATCTTTATGATAACCAGAAAAAATGATTATAGATGTTGATATTCCTATAGTTGTCATTTCTTTACTAGCTCTGTTTTACTTTATATCCCTTGAATGACATTTTGTCAGGTATGTTGATTTCAAGCAGTTTACTTTTAAACTGATAGCATCCAACTTTGTTAATATCTCTCAACGTTCATTAATAACCCACTTGAAGGGGCGCGGGAACGTAAAAGTTTTAGGGGGGGGGGGCACTGCAAAAAATCACAACAATAACTTAATGACAGTAATAAAAATCGAAACTATGCATTTATATTTCGTGTGAACCAATATTTTGTGGGGGAGGGGGGCAGGCTCCCCCAAAAAATTTTGTGAGGGGGCACGTGCCCTCCCAGACCCCTGGTTCTGCCGCCCCTGACTTGTTGCATACCATAAAATCTTGATTATATACTCATTTATACCAAAAGGCATTGATAGAGTTATAACTGGGGGTGGGGGTGGGGATGGGGCGCTTATTTTGTGTATTTCTTATATTTAGCAGTTTGTTTAATTATCCTTGAATCCTATTTAGAAGAACAATGAAATATGACAGCCATCGTATTGATGAAGAGCCTGTTGTGATTGGTCCTCCACAAGCCGAAGTAGAGGTAAACTAAATTTCCAACTAATTTAATACTAGTAATAATCAATTATGACAACAGGAAATCACAAACAAAAGTCAGGTATGTGAATACTGATACCCAAAGAAACAAAGTGATGTTTTTGATACTTCCAATTGGAAGAACACATACCACGAACTTTTTGTTTTCGAACCATTTGTTTTCGAACCATTTGTTTTTTGGTTTTTCCAGGTAAATGGTACGCATTTCATATATCCTAACAAGATTGCCAGCCACCGCGAGGTCATGATAGGGAAAAAGTGTGCCTAAGGTCTTGAATATATAGACTGAGGCAGTTAGGCAGAGATCCATTTTCAAGGCCAAGGGCACAGTTTTTCACTATCCTGATAGTTTTTTAAGCGTTAAGTGAGATTTTTATAATATTACATAATTTTAAATACTAACCGGTTCAATTTTCTAAAGTACTTAAATCATCGTTTGAATATTAAACAATTCCTGGTATTCAGTAACACCTACTTAACTAAAGATCCTAAGCAATAATTGCCTTGTATCTATGTATACAGGGTTCCATTTGTCCTAACTGTATGAAGATATGGAATAGTCAAGATGAGTTGATAATACATTGGCAAAACGAACATGCCACACAAGAGACCCCTATTAACACCGAGGTTAGATGTTCCTTATAATCTGACTTACACTAATACTAAACTACCTTAAATAACTACATTCAGTGTTAATCTTTCCTAGCCTGCATGCAGCCGAACTAACTAACTATATGAGAGAAAAGTTGGGCTGTACGCAGGCTAATCTTTCCTAACCTGTGCCCTCTTTTGGGGGAAAAAGGTTGTAAAAGTACTTTATCGAGATGCTAAATATAATGTGATAAACTTGTGATAGTTCTAAACCCTCTTATAAAAGATATTGTCCTCCTGGACATAGAGTATTTTGCTTTTGAATAGATAATGACTAGTATTAACTAGTTGGGACTGCATTGGTGTGTTGAATACAACAAGTGAATAAGAATGACTAGTGGTTACTAGTTGGGATTGTAATTCGGGAGGTTATTTGTTTAGGATTGAAAGACTTAAGGGACAGACATGTGCCTGAACTGAATTAATTTTGATCCAGAAAGTTAATTMAGTTCTTTCACTACCCTGTAAACAGAGGTTTTTTTCTGTCCCTCCGTCGGCTGGCTGGTTGGGGAGAAAATGAATGTTTGATGTTCTTTTTTTCCAGGTTGCCGTGCCCGCAGAACAAGATAACAATATTTCTTAATTGATTATTTGATTGATTAATTCATGAATAATTTAATCAAAGGGTTAGTTTGTTGGTTGATTGATTGATTAATTGATTAATTGATTGATT